CAACAACATTTGAATCATAGGAATATCAGAAGAAGAAGAGGAACAAGGGATAGAAACCATGTTTGAAAAAATAATGACACATGGTCATAAACTAAAGGGGGGAAATGGTGGGGGGTGCAGAGTGGAGGGGAATGAAGGGGGAAATAGAACAACTGTAATGGCATAATCAATAAAATTTTTTAAAAAGCCATCCTAAAATTCATATGGAATCTCAAAGAATCCCAATAGCCAAAACAATCTTGAAAATAAACCTGAAGACCCTTCTTGTTTCAAAATTTACCTCAAAGCTACAGTAAACAATAGTGTGGTATTGGTATGAAGACAGACATATAGATCAAAGCAATAAACAAGAAAGCTGAAACTTCTGGCCAAGATGGAGATGTAAGTAGATACACTTGGCCTCCTTGCACAACAAAAAGGACAACGAATTTAAAACCAAAAATAACCAAACTTCCAGAAAATTGAACAGTATGGAAGTCCTTGACAACCAAGGAGTTAAAAGAAAAAAATTCATCCAGACAGGCTGGAGGGGCGGAGATGGACAATAGGGGTGAAGAGGACCTGTGGGAAGGTGGAGGCTGGCAGAGCAGGCACTCCCACATTTACATGCAGTTAAACCAGTAAAAACAACCAGGGAGCAAGACAGACCATGCAACCCAGCGTTCCGGGGTGGGGGGAGGGAATAAAGTCTCAAAATCTCTACTGAAAAAACCTGCAGGGGTCAAGTGGCAGGAGAAACTCTCAGCCTCATAGGAGAGTTCATTGGAGACACCCACAGGGTCCTAGAACATACAGAAAACCACCCAGAAATCAGCACCACAAGTGCTCAATTTGTTTGTGGGTAGTGAAAGACATGACTGAAAGCCAGCAGAGAGCAGGGTCTAGCAAGCAGCACTGTTTCCTCTCAGATGCCCCCCCACATTAGTGTCACAAGGCAGTGATGCGTGGGTTGCCCTGCCCAAGCAATACCTAAGGCTCCACCCATTACTATGTAACAGGTGGGCAAAGACAAAAAAAATATGGCCCAAATAAAAGAACAGATCAAAGCTCCAGAACCAAATACTACTAAGCAATGAAGAGATACATTGTGTCAGATGCAGAGTTCAAAACACTGGTAATCAGGATGCTCACACAAATGATTGAGTATCCTGGCAAAACAGAGGAAAAAGTAAACTCTATGCAAAGTGAAATAAAGGGAATTGTACAGGGCACCCACAGTGATGGAAAGGAAACCAAGATTCAAATCAATGGTTAGGACTAAAAGGAAGAAATAAACATTCAACCAGAACAGAATGAAGAAACAAAAATTCAAAATGAGGAGAGGCTTAGAAACCTTCGAAACAACTTTCGATGTTCTAACATTGGAATTATAAGGGTGCCAGAAGGAGAAGAAAAAGACCAAGAAATGGAAAACTTAGCTGAAAACATAATGAAGGAGAACTTCGCCAATCTGACAAAGGAAAGAGACTTCAGGACGTCCAAAAGTCCAAGAAGTTCAGAGAGTCCCAAAGAAGTTGGACCCAAGGAAGCACACACCAAGGCACATCATAATTACATTACCCAAGGTCAAGATAAGGAGAGAATCAAAAGTGGCAAGAGAAAAGGAAACAGTTACCTATGAAGGAGTGTGCATAAGATTGTCAGCTGATTTCTCAAAAGAAACCTTACAGGCAAGAAGGGGCTGGAAAGAAATATTCCAAGTTTTGAAAGGCAAGGACCTACACCCAAGATTACTCTATCCAGCAAAGCTTTCATTTAGAATAGAGGGGCAGATAAAGTGCTTCTCAGATAAGGCCCAGTTAAAGAAGTTCATCACGATGAAGCCCTTATTATATGAAATCTTAAAGAGACTTATCTAAGAAAAAGAAGATAAAAATATGAACAGTGAGAAGACAACAAACTCATAACTATCAACAACTGAACCTAAATAAAGAAAAACAAAAACAAACTAAGCAAACAACTAGAACAGGAACAGATTCACAGAAATAGAGATCACATGGAGAGTTATCAGCAGGGAGAAGAAGTGGGGAGAATGGGGGAAAACGCACAGGGAATAAGAAGCATAAATGGTAGGTACAAAATAGGCAGGGGGAGGTTAAGAATAGTACAGGAAATAGAGAAGCCAAACATCTTATATGTATGACCGAAGAACATGAACTAAGGTGGGGGAATGATGGTGGGAGGGGGGGTATAGGGTGGAGGGGAATAAAGGGGGAAAATGGGACAACTGTAATAGCATAATCAGTAAGATATATTAACACACACAAAAAAAGAAAGTTCAGAAATAGACCATTGCATATATAGTCAAATGATTTTTGACAAGTGTGCTAATACCATTCAATGATAGCGGGAAAACTGGATAGCCATATGCAAAAAATGAAGTTGAACTCCTCTCTAATATCATACACAAAAATTAACTCAAACTAGATCAAAGGTTTAAATGTAACACTAAAGCAATAAAGGTTTTCAAATAAAACACAGCTTTATAATATTGGATTTGTCAGTGATTTCTTAGATTTGACAGCCAAGGCATAGGTAACAAGAGAAAAAATAGACAAAAAATGTGGCCTTCAAGAAAAAACATTGTACACCAAAAGATACTATTGACACAGTAAAAAGCCAACCTACAGAACCGTAGAAAATACTTGCTAACTACATATCTGTTAAGAGATTAATATGAAAAATATAAAGAGAATTTTTAAAACTCAACAAAAATACCAAACCACCGGATTCAAAAATAGGCAAAGGATGTGATTAGACATTTCTCCAAAGGTAAGTGATCAATAAGCACATGAAAAAATGCTCAACCTCTCCAACCACTAGGGAAATGCAAAACAAAACTACAGTGAGCTACAACCTCATACCCATTAGAATTGCTATTTTAAAAAAATCACAAAACAGCCCTGGCTGGTGTGGCTCAGTGGACTGAGTGCTGGCCTGAAACCAAAAGGTCGCAGATTGGATCCCCAGTTTAGGTCATGAGCTTGGGTTACAGCCAGATCGCAGTAAAGGGCGCATGAGAGACAGCCACACATTAGTTTCTCTCCCTTTCTTCCCACTTCCCCTCTCTAAAAATAAATAAATAAAATCTTTAAAAAAAATCAAAGAAAGCAATGATCAATATGAAAAAAAAAAACAGAAAACAAGTGTTGGGGAGGATGTGGAATACCTGTAATCTTTGGGGACTACTAATGGGAATTTAAAATGGTACAACCACTGTGGAAAACACTAATCCGGGCATGCTCAAAAAGTTCAAAATAGAAATACCATATGATCCAGCAATTCCATGTCTCTGTGTATATCCAAAAGAATTAAAAGCAGGGTCCCAGAGATAATTCTACACTCAAATTCATACCAGCATTATTCCCAATAGCTACATGATAGTAACCCAAACTTCATCCATTGACAGAATAATAAGCAAAATGTATATACATATAATGATTTTTCAGCTTGAAAAAAGAAGGAAAGTCTGCCATATGCTATAATATGCATGGCCTTGAGGTTATTAAGCTAAGTGTAATAAGTCAGTCACACAAAGACAAACATGTATGATGCCATTTATATGAGGTACCTCGAAAAGAAATTCAGAGAAAGGAGAATAGTGGTTGTCAGAGGCTAAGGAAAGTGGGGAATATGGTTTGAAGTTTTACAAAATGAAAAATTATAGAGATGGATGGCAGAGATGATTGCACAATATTATGAATGTATGTAACATCACTGATCTGCCCACTTACAAATGGTTAAGGTGGTAAAATCAATGGTATTTCACCACAAATAAAAATAAAGAAACTTAGTACACAGGTCCCAATCTTCCTTCTCCACCATAGTGAAAAGAAACCTCACATTAAATTCGAACACCCTGAACTAATATTTAATGTCTTCCATAATTTCGACTCTTCCCACTTTCCCAACTTGATCATTGAGGAGGCCCAGATTACATTAATAGTCTACATACTTTTCTAATTTAATAATAACATCTTGTGGCCAGTTAAAGCAACAAATTTTTCCCTACGGTATAATGCAGCACTTCTCAAACTTTCAAATGTGCACAAAACAGTGTGGGGTGCACATTTTCTTAGAGTGCAAATTCTGACTTATTAGGAGGAGATGAAGCGAAATCTGTATTTCTGTCCAACTCCTAAGTAATACAACTGCTTCCCATCTGTGGAGCACCCCTGAAACAGCACCTGTACTTGTGGAGGAACATATCTGTTCCCTGTTCACCTGCTTTCCTCTCCCTTTCACCAGTCACAGCTTCTTCTACAACTTCATGATCTCATCCAACATGCATGCAAACCTCTTCTTTAGAACTCCTCATTTTCTTGCTCCGTTAGCTCAGGAAAACCTCATTCTCTTTGTACCTGTCAAATTAGTCCTGACTGAAAAAACGAAGGATGCCCCTGCTTTAGGGTAGCTTACAGGTTTGAGTCAATAGGTACATAGACCCATTCTCCCCTCCCCCAGCTAAACAAAGTGCCTGGGCTTTAAAGATAGACTCTTGGGTACTTTTTCGGAGACCTTGGGCAAGCACCTTAAGGAAACCTCACTGAGCCTCAGGTTCCTTAACTTTAAGACAGGATTAAAAATAGCACCTACCCTAGAGGATTGTCACAGGTACTAGAAGAGATGATGCACATAAAGATCTTTGCCTGCCTTTCTCAGTCTGGCACTCGTTTTAAGTAATCGATGGACCCTATTACTAAGTAACAAAGACGTTAAGATAGCACCGCTCTGTGACAGATACTTCTTTTCACTTATCCCTGCCTATTAGTGGCCCTGTTGTCCTTTAGACAGGCATTTCCCCTACTTCCCTTACAGCGGTGCAATTTAAGTAAGTTCACGTGTTACCACACGCTTACAACTGGGTCTCCACGCGAACTTATCATCATAGAACGTTATTACAGATTTGCGTTCCCGCTCACGTTTGACAATGTCAGCAGGGAGGTCCGGAACACTCGAGAGACTTTCCGAGGACCCACAGAATGAAGATCGTCACGTACCGGACTCTAGCGTTGTCCTCCGCCGGCGCCAGCAGCTCCTCCCACAATGGCTTCAAGGCCGCGACCTCCGCTTCTAAGGCGCGGACCTCCGCCTCCCTAGGGTCCATACCGCCGTGCAGACCGAAGTCGGCCCAACCGGGGGTGCCTGGCCCGGCACTTAAAGTGTCGCGCGCTCCTGGACGGACCCGCCCAGGAGGGTTGGACCATCTCTACGGGGAGGAGAGGGAATATAAGTATCGTCCGTGAGTACGACCATAGCTTGCAAAGTATCCCGAGCTCGTTTCTGTCACTTAACACGCTGCTAAGCTGTTCCTCAGCAGTCCCTATGCTTGGAGAGAGTAAGTTCGCTCCGACCCGAAGCCCAAGGGCACATCAGCCCAACCTGCACCTGTGAAGTTGGGACAGCCCGGATGCGTACGTCACAAAAGAGTAGCTTCCGGCACTGTGTGCCTGGTCGTGTAGTTTTCGGCTCACTTTCCCGGACCTAGTCTAGGAATAGATAAGTAACGATAACTAACCTTCTTAAGTAAGAATTATGGAATTATGGTTTGGATCCTTTTAGGACGTTCAATCGTGGAGGCATCGTAGTATCCTGGGCGAGAAAAAAAATAAAGAGCACTAAAGAACTGAACATGGTTACGGAACCCTAGGAGGCTGGGTTGGAAATCGAATAGGAAGAAATAGAGAGTACGCCTAGTGAGACACGTGACTAGAAGTTAGGGGTCGAAGCGGCGCTGGTGAAGAGACATCGTGGTGAGCAGTGCGTTTAGAGAATGGGAAGTAATGGGGCCATTTCTCTGTCCCTTCTTGTCTTTGGGTCTTCAGGGGGAAGAAGGCTGGGGTGGGAAGGTTGGGGGCAGAGGAGTCTACCAGGGAGATGTATTGTGTGCCTGATGCCAAGAACTCGAGCCGTGCATTAGGTTTCTGGGCGCTATATTGAGATGTAGAGTGGCAAGAATCTATCAGCTCTTTGGGAAAAGTAGGGCGTGATACTGAGCGCCTGTGAGTGCTAAACGGGATTAGAGATCTCTTAAAGGGCTTCAAAGTTTAGTTCCTCTGGAAGAGTTTTCCCGAGCCCCTTCTAATTCCCTTCCTGGTATAGATACGCATTAAAGATGCTGAAGTTAGACCTGGCTTATAATTCTGGTTTCGCTAATTCTCTGAATAACATTAGGAGAGTAACTTCATCTCTTCTTTTCATCTGAAAAATTAGATGCGGGCAAACTGTCATACAACGCTGGCACATAGTAAAAACAAACAAACACAAACAAGTCTGTATTAGCGATTATTTCAGTTGCTCTCTTTGCCTGAACAGCGTTTTGCAGGCACTCCTCTTGTGACAGTGCTGTAATTGCTTCTCACATGGCTGTGAGGACACCAGCATGGAGCACCTTCTTTTTTTCAATCCTTTAGCATATTGACCTGCCATATTCCCATTTCTGTCAGTATTTGTTAAAGTGAATAAATGAATAAAAGAAAAACGTCTAACAAGGTGGCTAAGTAAATGAATAATGTGCTCATTTGAGGGAAAGCATCAAAGCACCTGCCATACCTGTGTCTATCTGTAGAGGTGCTGTTCCAAAGTGGGTTCATGGAGAAAGAGCATGCAAAGCTTGACCATGATCTCCAGGGATAAAATTTAGAAACAATACAATAGTGAAAGTTCAGGCGACCAGTTAGCATAGAAGGTTCAAGGTAAAGAATTGTTTTGTTTTGTTTTGTTTTTTTTAGGTTTCAGAAGAACTAATGGAAAGAACTCTTCTCTGCAGATAGAAAATTCCTTTTCCTACTGCAGCACACTGTATGCCCAGCCTTTATGAAAGCCAACAGAGAAACAAAGCGCCTTTTTGTGGGTGGCCTTGGCCAGAACATTTCTGAGGTGGACCTACAAAATCAGTTTAGCAGATTTGGAGAAGTTTCCGATGTGGAGATCATTACTCGGAAAGATGACCAAGGTAACATTCTAGTCCTTCATGGATAGTTAAAAGCAGATCTAACTGGGTCAGTTATCACAAAATAAAGGAACTACAGGGATGAAGATTAGCCTAGAACATTAGAAGTGATTTGTGTATCATTGTAGGACACTGTCCTGCAAACCCTGCCCTATGCCCTGGAGGTAAAACTTACACTGTGGAACTTGCCCAGAATTACATTCCTGAAATCAAAAATACTCTAAATTCTAAAACATGCCATTTCTGAATGGAAAGTTACTGAACTGTAACTTTCAGTTTTCAGAGCTAATATCTAATATTCATTAAATGTTCTATTTAGTAGAATATCACTAACATGGAATCATAACATAACAACAACAACATAATAATAACATAATTAACTGACCACTTGACATTTTTTAACTCATTTCTTTGAAATATTTTGATAATCATATTTGGGAAAATGCAATTTTTGTGTCCAGTGAAAAATAAACAAGGTTTTTCTTTGAAAGAGTAGGTTTCCAAGAGCTCATTGTTTTTAACATTTAGAAACTTAATCATTTTTACATTGTTCTTTGGATCAAGGTTTAGATTAATTTATTTTTCTGTTTTTTTAGGAAACCCACAGAAAGTTTTTGCATATATCAACATCAGAGTAGCAGAAACAGACCTGAAAAAATGTAAGATGTTTTCTATATTATTGATCAGTTTATGTCACTGTAACTTGGAAAACTTCATTCCAAATCTAAACTTCAACAAACACTTTTTAAGTCATCCAGAGGGGCAACCATGATCAAGAGAATTCTGGTATCCTACAATATCCTGTATATTTTAAGCTATAAAAATATAGGCCTGTGTTATCTTTTTTTAACATAATCTTAATCTTGTGGCAATGTTGATCTTCCCCCCTTTTTTTGTATGAGTGTTTAGTACTATTTCAGAAAATAGCTGAACCACAGCCGTTTTAGTTTAATACCATTTGGTGTCAGCAGATACATGAGAGCACATTGGTAATGAGTTTGCTCAAAAATGGCATTCTAAAATATATTGGACAAGAGACGAAACTTTCATAGAAATTGCCTATTACATATATTCCACTGGATATTATGCCATACTCCCATCCCCTTCCCCAGTGTTTTTATTTCTTAGGGAGGTTATTTTCTTATGATTGAGTGCTGTTAGCAGAGGGCTGGATTTAGTGTATGCCCTTATAAGACCATATTTTTGAAATTATGAAATCTCAATGGATAAGTTTAGTAAAGCTGAGAGCAAACTGTGGTCTCTATTGAAATGAAAGGAGAGGTATTCCATACTGCCACTGATGTAGTAATGTATTCTAGTTATTTGGAAGCTGAGAAGTCAAGAGGTACTGCTAATAGAGAAAGAGGGCTATCATCCTTTTCATTTCGCTTGCAAGAAAACAAAAACAAAATTTTAATTCTGTTGTAAGTGAGGAAGTATATATAACAAATGAGTTATAGTTAAGAACACATCAGCTCTGACCTGTGGCAAGTTAATTTAAACTTCTAAGCCCCAGTTTGTTTATCTGATGTGTGACAAAGACATTGCTTTCCTCAGCATATTGCTGTGAAGGTTAAATTGAAAAGTACCTTTGTATTTTAAAATAGTACCTAACAACAATCTACTCTCCATTAGTAGTTATTACTAATGAGGTGGATAGCAAACACAGTTTAGTCACTTGGAGCTAATTTGTTTTGAAGTTACATAGTAATAAGTATATGAGGTCATTAATAAAGGTGAGGTATTACAGAATTTCAAGGTGTCCTCTAATTCCCCTTAGGAGAAAATTACATGAATATTTTATAGTTTTGGTGTGAGAAATGCTAAATGTTGATCATTCACTAGAAGCTTCTGACATTACTTTATAAATAAATAGCAAAATTTTTTTGCTTTATAGTTTATACATTTGGGTCATTTATATCTTCTAGTCACAAGGAGGTAGGCAATACAAGGGTTCTATTAGTAAGTGGTCAAAGTGAGATCAGGATCTAGGCCTTTTCACTCCATATCTCAAATTCCTTACTCTGTCTTCTCTGTATCTTTGTGATTAACAAGTCTACTTTTCTTGGTATGTACTAAGTAGAAAACCATATTCTGAAATGTGTTTTGCATTGCCATGTAATTGGGTAACAATTCTTTATTCTGTAGGTATGTCTGTTTTAAATAAATCAAAATGGAAAGGTGGAACACTACAAATTCAATTAGCAAAAGAAAGCTTTTTGCAAAGGTAAGATTTATTCTATGTGAATTGAAACTGTCTATTTTGTAAATGGTTTCATATATTCATTTATTTGATTGGAAAGTATTAAGTAATAAATTTATTACAGTATTAGCAAATTCAGACCACACAAGCAGAGCTAAAGTACCTCTCACCTTTGACTTTTCATAACCCCAGACTCCACCCAAAAAAGACAATTTGTATATTTTAAGCTATGAAAATATAGGCCTATGTTTTCTTTTTTTAACACAATTTTTTGTGGCAATGTTGATCTTCCCTCTTTTTTGTAATGAGTGTTTAGTACTATTTCAGAAAATAGCTGAACCACAGTGTAGGGGGCCATCCCCCACTGATGGACATTTAGATTGTTTTTCTATTTCATGATAATAGATAACCTGTGAGGATGGCTCCTGCATAATACAGAACTTCCTGTGGGGTTTGCGTCAGCCATAAGAGTTACTGTGTCTTGGAGTTATATATATTAAAATTTTAATAGATACTACTGTGTTGCTTATGTTATTTTTGACTCTTAGTGCTGGCATCATACAAAAATAAAGATAATAGGAAATCCTTGTGTGAGAGGCATAAGATTAGTTAGGCAAATGATTAAGATTAAGGCATTGTAATAAGTACTGGAGTATTTTAAAATCCTGAAGGTATTCTCAGGGAGGAAAGATTATATAAGTTTGGGAACTTTCAAAAGAGGAAACATTTTCGAAATATGCAGATGGAGTGATGATATCATTAATAAGATTGTTCAAGATAAAGAAAAATAAGGTCTAAGGCAAGTGACAAACAGGAGGCATGTTTTGAGGGAGTAGTCAGGTGAGGCAGATGAGAATTTGTTTTTGTTCTTCAGCTGGGAATATCTATGAACAGGTTAATAATGAGACTTTTATTCAGCTGTCTACAGAAACTGGGACCCCAGTCCTTAGCAGGGTGAGAACACAGTGCCACTGCTTTGAATCAGTGCCTGCAGCTAGCTGTGCCTGCAAAGCATAAATCTGATAGACATTTTGGATGGTGGAATGTTAAACAGACCAGAAGCAGAGAGTCCAGCAATGATTGATCAGCATAGTTGTTTAGGTGTAAATAAGGTGGTCAGTTTCAATCAGAAGTTTGAGATGGCATTCAGCATTCTCTTCATTATGAGGGTGGAAATAATCAAGACTAGTCAGATTGGGCTCTGAAAGACACCTCTTCCTTATGAGAAAGAGTGAAGGGATTGAGGAAGGATAAAATGGCCAGAAGTGCATAAGGTGAAAGGGAAAATTGAGAGACCCTAAATGATCACTCTAAAGTTAAATAGCATTATAGTATTAAAAAACAAAACAAGAAGCACCACTAATAATGTGGTTGTTTTCTTTATGTTTTTCTCTTTGATTCAGATTGGCCCAAGAGAGAGAAGAAGCAAAAGCAAAGAAGGAAAAGTCAACCATAGGAAACGCTAATTTGTTAGAAAAGATGGGAGTGGTGGATTTCCATATGAAAGCTGTGCCAGGGACAGAAGTACCAGGGCACAAAGTGAGTCTCTTCTGGTAGCTTGACTAGCCCAGAAACTGAATCCTAAGACCCCCCTAACTGATGGCATCATGTTCAAAGCAATTGCTTTTTAACATAGATGGTGCTTTATGATTTTCAAAGTGTATTTACTAATGTTGGGTAAGCACAGTTCTCCGTTTTACAGAGACAGAAGTCTAAACAAGTAGAGACAGGTCTCCATTATTCATATATTGCATTGTGTGCTCACCAACCCAAGTCTAGTCTCCTGTCACCATATTTTTTATTTCTATTTACCCTATTCATTCTCCAGCACCCTTCTTCCTCTTTGATAACCTTCATACTGTTGTCTGTGTTTATGAGTTTGTTTGCTTTGTTTGTTCATTTGTTGCTTTACTTTTATGTCCTATATATGAGTGAAATCATATAGTTCTTGATTTTTAGCATTTCATTTATTTCACTTAGTGTGATACTCTCAAGATATATCCATGGTTGTCCCAATTGCAATATTTCATTCTTTCTTATGGCTGAGCAGTATTCCATTGTATATCGTATATGTGTACCACATCTTATTCCAGTCACCCATTTAAGGATACATAGATTGTGTCCATGTCTTGGCTACAATGAATAATACTGCAATGAACATAGGGGTATATATATCTTTATTACACATGTTTTCAAATTTTTCAGATAGGTACTCAGAATAGGGATTGCAAGGTCATAAGATAGCTCTATTTCTAATGTTTCCCATAGTTGTTATACCAGTTTACATTCTCACAGCAGAAAATGAAGGTTCCTCTTTTTCCACGGCCTTTCTAGTACTGATTACTACTTGTCTTGTTGATAATAGCTATTCTAAGAGATGTGAAATGCTATCTCATTTTAGTTTTGATTTGCATTTCCCTAATAACTAATGAAGTTGAGCATCTTTTCATATGTCTGTTGGCTATTTGTATCTTTTTGGGAAATTGCCTGTTTAGGTCCTTTGCAGGTTTTTTTATTGTTATGTTTGTTTTCTTGTTGTTGAGTTCATTTATAATTTGGATATGAGCCCTTTATCAGATATATTGGGGCTTTTTAAATATATTTTACTAATTATGCCATTATAGTTGTCCCATTTTTCCTCCACTATTCCTCGCTGCCCTGCACTCCACCTACTACCCACATCCCCCGCCCCCCTTAGTTCATGTCCATGGGTCATACATATAAGTTCTTCAGCTTCTCCAATTCCTATACTATTCTTAACCTCCCCCTGTCTATTTTGTGCCTGCCATTTATGCTTCTTGTTCCCTGTACCTTTATCCCCATTATCCCCCTACCCCTTCCCACTGATGATTGTTGTCTTTTTACTTTTCATAGTTTTGATCATTTTTTAAAACTACCTTATTATAGTTTTTAGGATTTTATTTATTTATTTTTAGAGAGAGGAAGGGAAGAAGAAAGGGAAAGAAACGTCAGTGTGTGATTGCCTCTGGTGCGCCCCCTATTGGGGACCTGGCTCGCAACCCAGGCATGTGCCCTGGACTGGAAATCGAACTGGTGATGCTTTGGTTCTCAGGGCAGCACTCAATCCACTGAGCCACACCAGCCAGGGCCACCTTCTTCTTCTTAGATAAGTCTCTTTAACATTTTATCTAATAAGGGCTTGATGATGATGAACTGCTTTAACTTAACCTTATCTGGGAAGCACTTTGTGTGCCCTTCTATTCTAAATGATAGCTTTGCTGGATAGAGTCATCTAAGATGTAGGTCCTTGCCTTTCATGACTTGGAACACTTCTTTCCAGACCCTTCTTGCCTGTAAGGTTTCTTTTGAGAAATCAGCTGACAATCTTATGCACACTTCTTCGTAGGTAACTGTTACCTTTTCTCTTGCTGCTTTTAAGATTCTCTCCTTATCTTGAACTTGGGTTATGTAATTATGATGTGCCTTGGTGTGTGATTCCTTGGGTCCAACTTCTTTGGGATGCTGTGGACTTCCTGGAAATCCATTTCCTTTGCCAGATTGGTGAAGATCTCCTTCATTTTCTACTGTTTTTCATTTCTTGCTCTTCCTCTTCTCCTTCTGTCATCCCTGTGATTCAGATGTTAGAATGTTTGAAGTTGCCCAGAAGAGTCCTAAGCTTCTCATTGCTTTGAATTCTTGTTTCTTCATTCTGTTCCGGTTAAATGTTTATTTCTTCCTTTTAGTCCTAACTTGATTTGAGTCCCACTTTACTTCCCATCACTGTTGGTTCCCTGTCCATTTTCCTTTATTTTACTTTTCATAGCCTTTACTCTTCCCTCTATTCTGTGACATACTGAACCATTTCTATGAGCATCCTGCTTACTAGTGTTTTGAGCTCTGCATCTGATTTGTTGGCTGTCTGTTTATTGCTTAGTAGTATTTTTTTCTGGAGCTTTGATTTGTTCTTTCATTTGGGCCTTTTTTTTTTTTTTGGTCTGGGTGCAGCTGTTAAATACTAAGGGACAGAGCCTGAGGCATTTGCCTGGGCAGGGCCAACCGGCTTGCTGCTTTGTGGTGCTATATGTGGGGGAGGTGTCTGAGACCAAACAATGCTACTTGTTCAGCTCTCTGCCAGCTTCCAGCATCCCACAAGCAAATTGGGAACTTGTGTTGCTGATTCCTGGATGGGTAGGTTTATGTATGTTCTAGGACCTTGTTGCCATCTCCAATGAACTCTCCTGTGAGGCTGGGAGTTTCTCCTTCTATGCAACGTGTCTCTCCCCCCCCCCCCCAAGTTTTTTACTGCCAGAGATTTTGAGGCTTTATTTTCTGGTACTGGATCCCTTGTTTGTGCTGTCTCGGTAGCTCCCTAGTTGTTTTTCCTGGTTATTTACATGCAAATGGTTGGAGTGCCTGCTTTGTGAGCAGCTACCTTGCTTGCCCCAGTCTTCCAGCTTCCACCTTGCTGCTGGTCCTCTCCACCCTAACTGCTTGTTTCCGCCCTTCCTGTCAGTCTGGGTGAGTGTTTCTTCTTTAACTCCTTTGTTGTTAGACTTCAACACAGTTCAATTTTCTGGCAGTTCTGATTATTTTTTGTTTTTCATTTTGTCCTTTTGGTTGTAAGAGGAGGCAAAGGGTATCTACCTATGCCTCCATCTTGGCTGGAAGCTATCAGAGGTATTCTTTGCTCATATTTTCTCTTACTCATATGGTTGCCTTTTGGGGTTGGTTTTTTTTTTTTGATGTTTTTAATTTAATACAGTCCCAGTTACTCATTTTTCCATTTACTTCCCTTGCCTTTGGGGTCAAATTCACAAAATCTTTGAGACCAAGATCCATAAATTCAGTGCCTACAATTTTTTCAGTGTAATTTATTGTTTGGGGTGTTATATTTAAATCTTTATTTAGTTTTGAGATTTTTTTGTATATGTGGTCAAACAGCAGTATAGTTTTATAGTTTCATTCTCTTGCATGTGGCTTTCCAATTTTCCCAGCACCACTTATTGAAGAGGCTGTCCTTTATCCAAAATATGTTTGTGGCTCCTTTGTTGAAAATTGTTTGCCTATATACATGTGGGTTAATTTCTAGGCTGTCATCCTATTCCATTGGTCTGCTATCTTTTTTTTTTTTCCCCCAGTGCCATGCTATTATGATTGTAGCTTTGTAAAAGAATTTCAAGCCAGTGAATACGATACCTCCAGCTTTGTTCTTTTTTTTCTCAGGATTGCTTTTGCTATTCTGGGTCTTTAGTGTTTCCATAAATATTTGATGACTTTTTGTTCTCTGTCTTTATAAATTGCCATTGGGATTTTGATGTGGATTGCACTAAATTTGTATCTTGCTTTAATAGGGCAATTTCAACCAGGTTAAACGTATTCCACTATTCATGGAATACCTATAAATATCTTTGTGTTTTCTTTAATTTCTTTACCAATGTTTTATAGTTATTAGTGAATAGTTATTAAGTTATTAATAACTTTATTAAGTTATTCCTAGGTATTTTTCTATTTTTTGTAAATTCAAATTGAATTTTTTCATTTCTTTTAATGATATGTCATTGGTAGCATATGGTAGCATAATGGACTTTTCTGCATTGATGTTATATCCTGCAACTTTACTGTATTTGTATATTGTTTCTAATAGTTATTTGGTGGCATTTTTAGAGTTATCTATGTATGGAATAATGTCATTCACAAAAAGTGAAAATTTTATACCTCCATTTCCAATTTGGATGCCTTTGATAGCTTTCTTTTGCTTGATTTCTTTTTCTGGGACTTCCAGTACTTTGTTGAATAAGAGTGGTGAGAATGGACATTCTTATCTTTTCCTGATCTTACAGGAAAAGCTTTCAGTTTTTCACTATTCAGTGTGACATTAGCTGAGGATTTTGGCCTTTATTTAATGAGGTACTTTCCTTTTATTGAATGGTTTACACATAAATGGATGTTGTTTTCTTGTCAGATGCTTTTTCTGCATCTATGATATTATCTTAAGATTTTTACCCATCACTTGTTAATGTGGTGTATTACTTCATCAATTTGCATATGTCGAACCATCCTTAGGCCCCTGAATCGAACCCCACTTGATCATGATGTATGCATTATGTTTTTAATGTGCTGTTATGTTCTACTTGCTAGTATCTTGTTCAGGATATTTGGTCTGTAATTTTTGTGTGTGTGTTATCAGTGCCAAGATTTGGCATCAGGGTTATGATGGCCTCATGAAATGTGTTTGGAAGTGTTGCTTCTTCCTCAATATTTTGAAAGAGTTTGAAAAAGATAGGTATTAAATCTTCTTTGAATGGTAGAATTCACTAGTGAAGACATCTGGTCCTGGACTTTTATTTTGGGGGAGGTTTTTGGTGACTTTCAATTTTCTTAATGTTGATTGGTCTATTTAAATTTTCCAGTCCTCCTTCATCAGTTTAGGAAGGTTATATTTATTTTTAAGAAATATTCCATTTCTTCTAGGTTATTGTATGTGATGGTGTATAACCTATAATGTATTGTACTTCTTGGTGTCCAGTGTACCTTCTCAGTTTTCATTTCTCATTTTGAGTCTTCTCAAATATATATTG